CCCAGAGCCTGGTTCCTTGGGAGGTTTCTTCCCACTTAAAGGGCTTTTTTCCCTGTAGCCAAGTGATTGCTTACAGTGGTATTGTTCTGTAGGGTCTTTCCAGCCTTCCATCTTCTTTTGCTTATCCAGGGCCGGGTCATGGGGGGAGGTCTGCTTGGACTTGACTGTCCAAGCAGACCTCCCTCTTCCCAGCCACCTCCTCCAGCTTGTTCGGGGGAACATCAAGGTGTTCCCAGGCCAGCTGAGAGATATAATCTCTCCAGCGTGTCCTGGGTCTGCCATGGGGCCTCCTCCCAGTGGGACATGCCCGGAACGCCTCACCCAGGAGGCGCCCAGGCATCCTTGTCAGATGCCCGAACCACCTAAACTGGCTACTTTCAATGTGAAGGAGCAGTGGCTCTACTCTGAGCAGCGAGTAGCCAATTTCTTAAAGATGGGAACCACTACCCCGGTCTGCCAATCCAGGGGTACTGTCCCTGACCTCCACGCAACATGGTAGAGGCATGTCAACCAAGACAGGGTCTTTACCTTACAATATTCAACCTCTTCAGGTGACTGGTGTTGTGATTTAGTGCTATAAAAATGTATTTGAATCGAATCTTGCTCACTTTAGGGGCCGCTTCCATCTCACCCAATCTCTAAAATCTTCTTCTGTCACACCAACCCTCTGCATGTCCTCCTTCACTACATCAGTGAACTTTTTCTGCCTTCTCTAAATCTTCAGCATCAGTTTTTCCAACATATCCTATCCTATAGTATTCCTCCTCTGGACATGTCCAAATCACCTCAACCTGCTCAACCTGAGTTGTCCCCCCTGATGTACTCATTTGTAATCTTCTCCATCCATGGTGGCAGTGCCACCATCTCCAAATCATACATCACAGCAGGTCTCGCTGCCATCTTGTAAACCTTCCCTTTCTCTCTTGCTGCTGTCACAAATCACCCTGACACTCAACTCCACCCTCCCTGCACCCTGTTCTTAAACACATGAAACTTGCACCACTGGATGAACCAGATGACTGCAGGTAACATTTGGACAAAAAGTCTCATGACTCCATCTTTAGGGCTTAGTTAAATTAAATATTTAATAAGTTAATTTAACAATTAAAGACATATTCATCCAAAAGACACTCTTATAAAGTAGATTAAATATAGTGTTGACATAACATCTAGAGGTATGATTTGTTTTTTTAAAGAGTTAAATGTTGTAATTACATGAACAAAAGTGCTTTATGGCATCAGGGTTTTAACACCTTTTACGTTTTTATAATTATTTTAGGTGTAAAAGCTCAAAATAATGACATAAATATATCTGTTCATGTTATTATCACAATAATATTATTATTATTATGGCAAGTCAAGTTTGGATTCATAAATATCATCAATGATGTTTCTCCACAGCGGGCTCATCAATACCTGGTGAGAAAAGGTCAATCCAGCTCTGACTTGAGGCTTTTCAAGAAACAGCTCAACTTGATCTGGTTCCACCTCTACCACAGGCAGAGAAACACAGGGTGAGATCTCCTCCTGCCAACCATCCCGCTTTAACTGTGTCCAGTTGTTAAATTCATCCATGAGATTCTGCAACACTATAATTTAATATGCATTTCTTTGGTAAGAAGTATGTGTGTTTCTGTTCTTAAATTGATCATCACCAGCCTGGACTCCAGTGGATTTGAACATGTGTTTGTTGGCGAGACAAAATCAGGAACAGAAATCATTGGTTTTCACAACTGGGTCCAGTTCTACCTGCAAGAGAAAAACCAACACTTGGACTACAAAGGATATAAAGCCAGGGAGCATGATTTGGTAAGAATAACAGTTCAC